CGAATCTTCCTCCTCCTCTGAGGCTGTTTTCGGCAGCTCTGTTATACGTTTTTGTGTAGTGATCAGCTCTGACACTTTGCCAGCCAGTAGCATCCAGACACGGAGAGCAGGGAGGTTCGTAGGGCCACCACTAAGTGATAGCTTAAGGTCTGTTAGAAAAAAAAGAGCCAAAGCGGCGTTCAATCGCAATGGTTTATACACAGACGACATTTCGAAATGGGGAAAAGTTACGCAAGAGCAAACAGAACGAGGAGCATAATGCCGTTAAAGATTTAATAAGCTATACTTGGGTTAGTAGCAGATTGGTGAGTCACATGGGGAAAGTTACGCATTACCGTCACTGGGGCCGCTACACAGGCCTGTTCTGAATCTCCACCCAACGAGTTAGATAAGTAGTTGGCTTTGTTCGAGTATGCTGAATGTCAGAACATGACTGTAAAGCAAAAAGTAACTGCCTAACCGGAGCCCGCTATGGTGACCCCAAATGTAAGTAAGGTTTTGAATATAAAGAAATTGTCAGCCATCAACGTAAAATTGTGGGAAAAGAGAATTACACCTGTTGTGCGGTGGCCTAAGTCTCAATTAAACAATTATAATACTACTTCCCGAGCGGCCGGATTGTGCGGAACAGAGCTGTCGCATTCTTACAGGTATTATGACAGAATGTATAAGAGGACTTTTATCGCCAAAAAAGTTAACACTATATCGGGTATGTGGTGTGACAATAAAGCTGCCCAAACAAATTGTATTCTGAGTTAGCCTGGCGCAACGCCTGCCTCCGTACGGTTTTCTAATGCTGGCTGTAGCAAATGTGGCTCAGCTGATCGGTGTAGACATCTATTAAACCATCTCGTGCATTGAGTTTGAGGAGACATAAACAAAGAGTGCACGGAATATACTACACGGACACCTCCCAACAAGGGAAGGGAAAGTCGCTAAAGAGAACAATTACGGATTATAAATTTAAGGCTTTTAAAAAATTTTACAAACAAGCTGTCACCACAGGATGAAAGTGGAATAGTAATTCCATCGGTGTATGGCTCAGGGGCTCTAGGGTGGAGTAGTCAAGCATGAGTGTATAGCAGATGAGTTTTAAATTGTAGACCGGGATGATTACACAACTATCGAAAAGAAGGATCTATAAAGATCAAAATCAAATAATTACAGGTAAGATATGCAAATGGGTTTATTCTTAGGAGCAAATGATCCAGTTTGAATAAACAGGCAAAGTATCATAAAGAATGCAACGCATAGATTAACTGAGAAAAAACGCACTTGAAAGGGGAAGACAGTCCCGACTTTCTTCTGGCACTGCGCAAGAGGACACGAATCGGCAACATTCGGGAACTAGCGCATCCAGCAAGTCCTTTGATAAGCTCACAAAATCCCCGCTAGGAGACAGCGACGCCCTGTCACCGGCGGCCTGCAGACGTGGCTCGCAATCCAGCAGTTCTGTGATCAGTTGGGCAAGTTCTAATTCCGACCTAGAAAGAGCATCAGTAAACTCAACGGTAATCATTAATAATAACACGTAGATTCAAAAGCATTCATTTTATGGCTCAGAAAAAAAACGCATGCCTCTGTTTTTCCTCGTCAAAACCGCCGATATTCTCTTGGTGCCAGGTGGACAGCAGATTTAAAGTAGCGAATGTGACCATGGAGAGCAATTCGGGCTGAAAAAGGGAGACACAGTAACGGTAAAGCGAATGGGGGGGATCAAGTTATCGAAGCTGCAAAAGAACTAGTGGGACTCACCTTTAAATCACTTGACGGACTCTCCTCCATGAGTATCTTCACCAGACCCCGCAAAATGACCTAAAAAGGGATTAACAATAGATCAGGAAAAGGCTTAGGCGCGAGGGCATAGTTATTGCTAGATCCGACATGCAGTGAGGATTGAACAGAACAAATCCATTCAAACAGAGAGGCAGGTGCAACTTACGACACACTCGTTGGGCAGAGGACAAGTAGACGAATCGGGCACCGTGGGCGAAATCAGGGACCCAGCGGATGCTTTTGGGTCGCGAGGGAACACAAGGCGGAGAGATGTTTCAATGGTCTGACGTAGAAAGATCTGTCGCGTTTGTGCCTGAAGCCACAGATACGTTGACTGGATTTTAGCACCATTTTATGCACAAGACAGGGAGTCTTAGTTCTCGGCTTGGGGGTCATGTATAACAGGAAGGATTGGGGAGGGAAGGAGTGAATGACAACTCACTGGATCCGGTTGATTTACGCAGTTTTTGCTGACGGCTTGCTGGAGATACTCTATGCACTGGATCCATACACGGTCAATATGCACACTGGAAGGGCGACGCCCGCAAAGCAGACGAAGCCAGTGGAAGAGAGCCACTTCAAACTGGTAGGCGTTGTTGGTCAGGATTGAGGCTGGTATTTGCAACTCGGGCACTGGGGGAGTGAGAAGGAAGGCGCGACAAGAAGTTAGAAAAAGATAGAAGCCGCTCACGG